ATTACATCGCAGCTTGGGCCAGCTGCCCTGTGGCGGCACCACCGTAGCTGAAAGTTGCGAATATCTGAGAGCTTCTGATTACTCAAACTTCGTGATAATTCAAAGAAAATTCAGAAGTCCTTTTGAGTTTGAATGAACGAGTCGACTAGATAAGTTCAAGAGCCCTTGAAACTCCTTGATTATTCGTGTACTCCTTGTCAATTTTGAAAAGGACCTAGATGAAATGTTCCACAAGATGAAATTAAGTCTCTGTAAGTCACGCTCATTTCAAAAGCCCTATCACTTGCGAATGACCATGAAAACAAGCTGTGTTCATTAAAAAAAACATTGAGAGTTTCGGTTTTAAATTGTCCAGCTGGTACGGCGACTGACAACTAATATCATTTGTAAATGAACCAAGTCAAGGCATATCACTCAGGCGATGAAGTGGAAGGCTATTCAGCATGTTTAGGCAGGCAAGAAATGTTCGACCATCGCGGACGACTTCGGGATACCACGGAGCACTCTGAGTACCTTCTTGAAGAACAAAACTGATATTAAGGCAAAGGTGGCGGAGCAGCAAACGTCGGAAGCCTGTCATGTGCGTGCTTCTGCCCATGGAAATGTAGAAAAGGCATTCTATGCCTGGTTTTAGAAGTGCATGCAAAGACCATTCCGGTTTATGGCCTGATGCTGATCGCTGAGGCCAAATGGTTTGCCGCTGCACTTGGTGAAACAACTTCGCCGACAACATCGAGTGGGTTCACCAATTTAAGCAGCACTACAACATCATTGGCAAAGCCAATCTTGGCGAAAGCGAAGCTGTCAGGAGCCAGGACATCCAGCAGTGGATGACGAAGGAGTGGCCGAAAATCTCCGCATAGTTTTCTCTTGCGAAGATCTTCAATGCCTGGTGAGGCGTGAAGACACACACAGTGGTCAATTGCTTCCGCAAGGCAGGCTTCGAGACGGCGGAACTTGCGGGAACCGGTGAAGACGACGGCGAGTGCATGGAGAACTCATTTTGCGAGTTGTCCTACTTCCTGGTAGCAGTTCCACAGAGTGTCTAAGGAGGACTTCATGGAAGCAGACTGCAATGCCCAGGCCTTTGCCAACCATGCTGACGAGGAAATAACAGCTGCGATCACAGGGACCCAGGATGCACAGTTCGACAGGTCATGTGACGAGGAGGATCGCCTGGACGTGGCGCTGGGCACATGCGCGTACTCTGCCGCTGAAGTGGCGGCAGTGTTAGACATCATTCGCCGTTGTATCAGTCACATGGAGGGAAGCAGGCTGTCGCACCTGGACAGCATTGATAAGATCGAGACTAGCGCCTTCAACATTTCAAAAACGCAGAAGCTGGCCGAAATAAGATTTTTTTTCGTGCAAATAAATCGCTCTGTTGTGGCGTATGTATGGAATCGTCATTCTCAAATGCGCCTATTGTAGATGATGATCCACTACAGGTAAGCTTTTGGGGCTTCTATTTTTTTATCGAATTTTTCTTATATCAAACTAATTCGCGATCCCCTTCGAGTTGGATATATCCGTGTTCGACTGTAGCAATTATAGGGACACTTTCGGCGGTTTTTCGTTGTCGCCATGTTGCGTAACAAGTCCAAATTGACAACATGCCCCCGCGCATCGTAACTGTCATGAGCGGGTAGCAGCACGGAAGCGCTGCTGAAGCAGAGATCAAATGAGTCTGCCCTCCCTATCGCCTGAAAAGTACATAAGATAACATCACTCGCGTGTTAGAACACTTGTCGAATGCTCAAAAAGAAAGTGAACCACCCATCTTTAACGAGTATGAAATAACGCGGGTAGGGAGGGGGAGATCGCACGAGTAGCAATAAGGAACTTTGATTTCCGAATATCGGTGCAGTTTCAATGCTAAAGGACTGTGTGAAAACAGCACTTTTCCCTGGAGTGGCCGTATTTGCTCACACTAGCGTTTTGTAGAGGTTCTGCAGTATCGTATCCAAAAGAGTTGGCTGCCAGCCTTACTTCTTATAGAATTGCAATATGTTTGCTATCGTGTTCATTGCATTGCATTCAATCATGTTCATTGCATTCAACATGCCGTCGTGTTGCCAGAACTAATGGGCCTATCGCAAAAGCTACCAGCCTGCGAACTCATGGCGCAGCACAAGATGGAAGCGCGTGACGAGTCAACCTTCGAAGATCCGTCGTCACCATGGTCTCAAAGAGTTTCTATCAGCGCCTAATTTGACATCCCCTTGGTGGTGACGACACGGTTGTCTGAAATTAAGCGAAGTCACAGTTTTGCTGCAAGGGTGAAGCAATGAATGCGGTAGCAACAACTTGGAATGTAACGCTGAGAACGGCAAGCAGATCGAAATGTGCAGGGCCCTGCTCACGCAGGAAAGACGCACGAAAACATACACAGGACGAGAGCGAGGGAAAGAAGTGTATGCCTAAGGGCTCGTTTTTCCGTGTTTTGACACAGTATTAATGCGATCTAACAGACAGTAATGCCAAGGAATGTACAGGGGAAGTTATTAGAACCAATGGAATGTAAATAAGAAGAAAGAAAAGTGGATGAAAAAATAACCAGCCGTGAGCAGGAATCGAACCTACGACCTTCGAATAACGCGTTCGATGCTCTAACCACTGAGCTAGCACAGCGGCCTTCTCTCCATCCACATTTTTTGGGTTTATATGTGAATTTAGAAGTAGGAGTGTCAGTCAGCGTCATCTATAAGCCAAGCGACGAGTGTGAAACACTCTTTTTATGCGCATGTTTGGCGTCACGTATATATATATATATATATATAGAGAGAGAGAGAGAGAGAGAGATTTCGGCCGGGGTCCGGCCTTCGTCAGGGAATTCACTGCATATGTATACAAATCTCTCTCTCTCTCTCTCTATATATATATATATATATAGATTTGTATACATATGCAGTGAATGAAGGCGGTGACGGCAAAAAAACAAGCAGAGACTATCCATATAATTGCTATCGCAAATAAAGAAATTTCTCAGCTTGGCTGCAAAGACGAAGCAATGAATGCGACAGCAAGAAATTGGTCACTCGCAGAATGGCAAGCAGATCGAAACGTGCCCCGGGTTTCTCGCGCACAAATGACGCACGAAACGTACTCACAGGTACAGATAAATGCGCAATAACGTCTCAGTTGTTACTTCGCTGTGTCTGAAAAGTGTGCTCTTTTTGCAAACAGCGACTGTGCAAGGATAGCTGTGACCTTTGTGCGCCCGGTAACTACAACAGAATGGTTCCGGTGAAAGCCCAAAGCCAGCCAAGATGTACAATCCTCTCCACGATGAGATAAGGGTGCTCGAGTGAGCATCCACCCCCTTCTCTCTGCTGGGCAGAGTACGCTGTACATGAGAGCGCACACTGTCGTGTTGTGACGATGTGGTGACGAGCGCTCATTGCGCCATCTGGCTAGTAATGCTGAAAACACGATAGTCCCACTTCCTCAGATGCCCGGCACCTGGGATAAGTGGTAGATAAAAAAATAGCTTGCCGTTTGAATGTTGAAGAACGTGCTATATATCCGTGGCTGAGTGGTTAACGTCTTGCACTCACGTTTCAAAGGTCCCACATTCGATTTCGCGATCTGGAGTTGTTTTCTGGATTATTTTTCTTTTTTGTGCTTTCATGTTTATAGATACATATACATACATATACGGTGAGTGACGACGTCGACAATGGTGGCAAAATGCAGCCGAGGTTGCCCATATAGTTGCTATCGCAATAAAAAACAAAGCAGGGCGTCGTAGGGGGCCACATCATGTGTGCGCATGAAGCTGTGCACGCACGCACAGCATCGAAAACGAAGAGCGAACAACGCGCACACAGACACGGATACCGTGGAAAACCTATTTTGTAAAGCGCCCTTCATATACAGCGCGGCCCCACATATGTGATGCCAACTAAAAGCGTGCCACTCCCAATGCACAGAAGTTTTTTTTTTATTTTAATTTGGATTTGGAGTGGTTACAGGGGCTGTGGTCAGTGCATGCGCCCGTGGTGGCGATAATGGCGGCAACGCCGGTTCAAGGGGTGCAGGCGCGCCTGCCTGCCTCGTGCACGGCTCCGTTTTGCTCGTTTTTGCACTCGATAGCTCGTTTTTGCACTCGTGTGCAAAAACAAGCTATCGCTCTTGCTTGGTGCACCGTGCGTGCCATCGGTGGCGGGGCAGCCGTGGAAGATGCATGCTCATACCAAAATGCTAAAATAGGGATAAAGTACCTAGATTGTCCATGGGGAAAATTCGTCATATCAAGGTTGTCTCCCACTGTTACTTTGTTACATAAAGGTCGCAAATACATGCGCTTCTATGGAGCTACAGCGGGGAGAATAGAAAAACTGTTGAATCGAGGAATACTTTATATAGAGGTTCCATATAAGCAGGTTTAACTATATTTCAAAACATGTTTCCTAACAGTGATGTTGCACGGAGCTTCACCTGTTCTGACAAAAAAATGCACCTGCATTGCGTGCCAAGATCTGTGCCCATTTTTTACTTCACAAATATGACAAATGATAGAAATGTTTGAGCATTTTGTAGAAAGAGAGGCTGAGATAGCTGCTCTTGAAAAAGAAACTAGTTTCAAAGTACAGCTGCTTTCTAGAGTCATTGATTGATTGATTAATTTGTGGGGTTTTAACGTCCCAAAACCACTATTTGATTATGAGAGACGCCGTAGTGGAGGGCTCCGGAAATTTAGACTGCCTAGGGTTCTTTAACGTGCACCCAAATCTGAGTACACGGGCCTACAACATTTCCGCCTCCATCGTAAATGCAGCCGCCACGCTTTGTAGAGTCATGTGCAAAAATAAAATTATGTTAAACTTTCCTTGAATTTTTTATGTTTGCAGTCTGAATTTTTAGCCAAATATGTGTGAACCTTGTGATAGGTATGTGCTGTGGCCTTCTTTCTTAGAAGTAACTTATCGCAGTCGTGGAAGTTTGCATACATAGATGTCTCTTATTGGGCGCATTCACAAATGTGTCTGTGTCTGCAGGTGGTGGGCAGCATGGACGCTCACCCGAGCCGGTATGCGGCCACAGTGCGAGTGCAGCAGCACCGCCAAGAGATCATCCAGGACCTTGCGTCCATGGTCAAGGAGCTGCTCATCCAGTTTTACAAGTCGACGCGCTTCAAGCCCACTCGCATCATCTTCTACCGAGATGGAGTCTCCGAGGGCCAGTTCGCGCAGGTGCTGCACCACGAGCTGCTGGCGGTTCGGGAGGCGTGCCTCAAGCTCGAGACCGACTACAAGCCGGGAATCACATTTGTTGTTGTTCAGAAGCGGCACCACACACGCCTCTTCTGCTCTGACAAGAAGGAGCAAATTGGCAAGAGTGGCAACATTCCCGCTGGCACCACGGTTGACCTGGGCATCACCCACCCAACAGAGTTCGACTTCTACCTCTGCTCTCATGCGGGCATCCAGGTTAGCTTCGTTACTGGCTGTTTTCTTAGCCTGGTGGGATTGACGCGACTCTGAAGTAGTGGTCCCAGGGTATGTCACTGGCGCATGTGCAAGCCAGCGGTTGGCTAAACACCTCCGCTGATGGCTCAGCATGGTACAGTCGCGTTGGTGCCAGGTGGAGGGGGGAGCTGTTTTTATTTTTTATTTTTTTTAAGCTTAAAATTACACGATGATAAACTTGCCACGCTGGCTGGCTATTTATCTTGAGAAGTGAATACACATGACAGCCAGCTTTTCAATAGAAAGCTGTGTAGGGCAGCACAAAGGCCCTTGGCACATACAAGCTGCCTGAGGCTATCTATGTAGTCAATTGCTGCAGGCACGCTCGTGGTCGCCGGCTCCAAAGTTTCGTCGTCGTCATTTCCCCGCATCGCTCTTGCCGCGCACTTCATGCACTAGCCCTCACCCGTGCACGGCTCCGTGGTGTCGACATCATCATCGGCCGTAATGAAGTCATCTCAGTAGATGTCCCGCTCTCTCGAGTCAGAGTTCACGACGCGCTGCCACGAATCGGCTGATCGGTCCTCTTTGGGAGCTTCAGGCTCGGCATCGGCTCCGACATCAACGAAGTCGGCCTTGTGGAAACAGTTTCGCATGCATGTAGCCGTAGCCTGAGTCCACAAAACCTTTGGCATCTCCAAATCTAAGTACAAGGTCACCCGAAGAAGCAGGGTGGCTGCCGGGCGGTCAACAGCTATGAGCAAGCGCTCCACAAAGCGGTGCGTATAATAACTTTTGAACGTGCCAATGATGCCCAAGTCCAGAGGTTGCACCTTAGGCATTGTGTTGGGCGGCAGGAAAGCAGGGTCACTGCCGTCAGCGAGGCTTGTACGGGTTGCGCGAAAGTTATCGACCACGAGCAGCTTTGCTTATGCATGTCATCGTCAAATTCGTGCAGCCACGCTATTAATAAATCACGAGTCATCCACGCTTTGGCATTATGTCTGTAACGAACAAGCACATATCCCTGAAAGCAACGCGGCTTGTTCAATTTGCCGATTACAAAGGGCACATGCCAGTCGCTGCCATTCATATTAGTGCACAAAAGTGCTGTGATGTGCACTTTGCTATGTTTGCCGCAAGCGCACGTGTCGGCTTTCATGGCGGGAGTTCTTGCCGGTAGCATCTGATAGCGCAGTTTCGTCTGGGTTATAAACGTCTCGCTCTGCATAGCTGCAAATGGTGTCTCGATTTGCTTCGAGCCGCGAGGCAATGTCTTTGTCACTTGCCGAGGCTGCCTCATCAACTATCGATTTGAACACAATGCCATGGCGCACCTTAAAATGATGTAGCCAGCCATCTGCGGGTCAGAAGTCGGGGAAGTCCAAAAGGAATGCAGTCTTTTGCTTTGGCATAATAGTACTGCACCGGAATGTTCTGAGCCCGCGTGCTGACAAGCCATTTCAGCAGTGCATCCTCCACGTCTGTGTATGTAGCCCTCTGCAAGCGCTTTCTCTCCGCTGTGTGGGCATCGGCACTGCTAATCTTTTCCTTGTTTTTCAGGATTGTCAGTATGGTTGACTTGTTGACGCCGTACTTTTTAACCAACTCGCAGTTTTTCGGGCCTTGAGCGAGCTCTGCTGAAATGGCTCGCTTAGTAGCAAGGTCCAGTGCGTTTCGCTTCTTGCCACCGTCCACCATCATGAACGCACCCCACCACAGAACACCTAAACACTAACAGCTAGTGAGCAAAAAGCGCACGCAGGGCGCACGTAGTGCATGTGTGATAAGACAAGCGAGCGTGCGTGTAACTTCTCTGGGCTCGTTTCTAGCCAGTATAAAAAAAAAAAATGGGTGCGGCAGCGTCTCGGAGGTACATTTTTGGTGTGAAAAAAAGGTTGAGAAGGGGGTTAAGTGACACGGTGGAGACTAGCAAAGGAACTACGAAGGAGGGTAGTTCAGGTAGCTTGCTTGGGAGAGTAGCCTGTGCCGGCTGTACGCTCAGCCAGCATGCATGCAGACCGAGTCTCCAATTGTCGAAGTCGGTACGAGAAAAAAGACAGGAGGGGTGCATTAGAGAACAGCGTTAGGAGAGTGGGACAACTAGACGATCGTGGAGGCAAGGTCGGCGTTTAACAATAGGAATCGATGGGCACCATGCCAATGGCTTATCTTATCAGTGGTCGAAAGTGGTGTCCCTGGAAGTCACCGGAGTGCCGACTCTGTTCACTGTAACCGATCGACAGGGCTCGGAGACGTTTATTGTAAGCGTGATTTTGTGACATAGAGATAATGTATGTTTCCACAGTCACACGAGTACCATTCGTTTTAAGTGAAGATTCATTCTAAGTGGGGCCGTTATATGTGGGCTCAGCTGTATTATTAACAGTAGTACCCTACTTACCGAGAAATTAAGGTAAATGCACAAGAAAACATGCACCGCAGTAGGATATACTCAAAATGATCCCGATGACGTCACACGAACTGCCTTCAATTAATCACTAGTAATCAATCTAGCTGCACTAAATAAAGAACCTTCCGTGCATCAAGAGACGCAATAAAATCCTGCTTGTTCGTTTCTGTTTGATTCATGGGAAAAAGATAGGGGTGTGTTAATATCAAAATTTTCGAATACGAATACATAACTTCGAATACGGATCGAATATTGAATAATGAAGAGATTTGTTGTTAGAGTTTTAGCTCGAAAGACCCCAATTTTATCGATTTATTTTTAATTTTGCACCCTGTTCTTGTATCCGGTCAAGTCACTAAGGAAAATCGAAGTACTTGGGGCGTAGCAATACTCCTTATCTCTCTTGCTTCCGTTGCCTTTCTCGAGGACCGCGCTTATCATTTTATGATCAAGAATGCTTTGTTCTTCATTCCTCTCTTCTTCTCCTCCGGTTTCACGAAATGTGTTTCGCTCCTCAGTCATCTGCACCAAGCTAATTTTAGGTTCAAAGTGAATCGCGATTTCGATCGAATAATTTCGTATCAAATTTGAATAGTATATACGACATATAAAGAAAAATGTGCATACTCATCACAACCTAACTTATCTGCACAATAATAAAAAAAAATGAAATGGTCTCTATGCAAATTTCCTTTTTTTCATTCACAAGAAGTCGAAAGAAATTTTAGTAGCGGCATAATTTTACTCTCAGCAGGGTGCAAGTCAAAGCGGCACGTATAATAACTTTTGAACGCGCCAATGATGCCCAAGTCCAGAGGTTGCACCTTAGGCATTGTGTTGGGCGACAGGAATGCAGGGTTACTGCCGTCAGCGAGGCTTGTACGTGGTGCACGGAGCAGTTGTCGACCACGAGCAGCACACGCCTGCCTTGCTTGTGCATATCATGGTCAAATTCGCGCAGCCACGCTATGAATAAATCACGAGGAATCCACGCTTTGGCATTATGTCTGTAACGAACAGGCACATATCCCTAAAAGCAATGCGGCTTGTTCGATTTGCCGATTACAAAGGGCACGCGCCAGTTGCTGCCATTCATGTTAGTGCACAAAAGTGCTGTAACCCTTCAAGTACGTAACATCTGAAGATTTATTATACTTAGAGCATATAAGCAGTCAATAATTGCTTTTAAGCTTGATAAAATGAATTGATTTGAGAGTATATTTTCACTTAAGGGGCCGTGCAAAACTTTTTCAAGTAGCAATGGAATGCATTCACTAAAGAAGCTTACTTATTGCCTCATGAATTCACCGCCGCAAATATTTTTAGAATCCGTCCAGTACGGGCGGAGTTGCAAAGATTTCTCGCACGCTGCTAGGGCATTCTTTCTTCTCATCCTGATGAAAGCACTGGAAGCTAAACTGGGAAGGATGGCGCGAGAAAAGAAAATACGTCACACATGCTTTCTGAGTTTATGGAGCCATTTACCGAGAGAAGAAAGGAATTTTCAGCTGGCTTTGAGAATCTATTGTGTATCGCACGCCGCGTGCTGCGCTATAATATTTGGTTTGGGTGTCCTCGGTACCCTCGACAACCAATGGGCAGCGTTTTCTGACAATGCTCAAAAAGTGTTGCAGGGCCCCTTTAAATTTGGAGGGGGGCTTCGCTGTAGAGCGGATTTCTCCTGAGTAGGTGCATTCACGATTAGCACGCCTACACCACAGTGAAACCATCTTTACAGGCAGTACATTCTGATTAATATGCATTTATTCGTTTCTTGCAAATACTTTGAAATTTTCAATAATTTAAATTTGAACCAAAGCGAGTTTGAATACCCTAATACTCATTTGGATATTTGGAGCATTTGAATAATTGCACAAGCCTATGAACTAATATTTGTGAACACCAAATATACGAGGAATAATTGAGTTAGTTTCAATATTCGAAATTTTCGAATAACTGGTTATCTAATCGAATACGAGTATTACAAGTCCAACTTTAGAATATTCACACACCCTTAGAAAAAGAACCTCTGGACGTTACTATATAGCACGTACGACGCACCGTTCATCGCGTAATCAAGGCAGCTATTCAGACCACTGTCGTGCCTTCAACTGCCACTTTCGACGAAAATTACGGACCATCTCTCCCTGAAGGGAACCCTGATGGGATGCGAAGCAGCAGTGGTGTGCACAGCGTTGACCCGGTGGAAACGGGCATTGACGCCGGTTCTGAAGGACCAGTTTGAAGTGAAACTCCGTGTAGTGTTTACTCGAGTAAACGTTTGTTTGAAACGCAAAGACACAGGAGGCGGGACGCGTTGAAGACACTTGCACTCAACTTCCTTAGCTCGCGTTTCGTCACTGTTACCCGTGCGCTGTCTGTATTCTCGAACGTGATCGGTGCTTTTGACTTGCACCTTGTTGGTATCGCAGGTCTTCCACTGCCGACGCTTGCATTCGGCTTCCCTGGCTTGCGCCTCATCGGTGTTGACGTTGCCATTCGCGAACGCGATGGGCTTTGCTAACCCTCGTAATGCTGGCGACAGACAGTCTGGAATGGTAGGCGCACTCTAGCGGGAAGCATGCCACGGCGGCGTCCCACCCATCGG